ACTAAGAATACAAATAATATATTACACATATAAACTATGTTCCTACATTATTAAAAATATATGCAAATAACTAATATTTTACGAACTATTTCTAAGCTTTTAGTTAAAAAATTGTTAAAATATTGAGAGAAAAAAAAAACTTATAAATAATGGGTATTTTACAAAATTTAAATACAATTGTTAATACACGTGATATTTAATTAATTTAAGATTGGGTGCATGTAAATGATTTTTCAATTCAAATTGGACTAATTTATATTTAATATTTAATACAATTATTAATTAAACCAAATTAACATTATGGGTATTAACAATTGCATACATACAATGGTATTTGTTTTTAAAAACAATCACCCTAAATCGTAAAAACACTTACCTAATATTGGACTATTATTTTCACCATTTTTTATAACAGGTGAATTAGGTGGTGTTTTATTCCATTCAGAACATGGTTCACAGCCTTCAGCAATACGTGTTGGAGCTCGACAACATTGCCATTTTTTACCACCCCAAATTGATGGATGATATTTTTCACTTCTTCCCAAGGAGTCAGCACATACTTTAAAAATTATATCATGTTAATTAACAACTGAGATGAATTATAAACATAAACCGAATTGTTTATTAATTTATACCAGCTCTTAAAGATCTTATCCAATCAGATCTTTCTTGAAGTTTTTGTGTAATTAAATATAATGTATATGGTTGATCATTTCCATCACTATATGATATTTGAAATGCATACCCATTTTCACCGTCATTGTTAGTAGTATCTTGAGATAAAATATTTGGTGAAGAATTAATTGTAGCTGTTTCAATCACAGTTACCGTAGACAGTTTTATACGACCTCGTTCTTTTTTACGCTATAACCAAATTATAAAAATATATAAAACACAAAWTCATTTAATATTTCTTAATATGATATAAAGAAAAATTAATTTAATAATTTTAACAGAATGGATATTTGCAATATGAATTTGATTAATTTAAACATTATATAAATATAAAAAAAACCTAATATTTTGATAGGATTTACTTTAACTAAAAAACTAGAAATTAATAATATGTCAATTTTAAACACACAAGTTATTTATTTATTTATAAATCTTCAATATCCATAATATAAGTTACATTTCGAACTTATGATGCTTTTAAAGTTGAATAATATAGTTTATGGAGAATATCACAATTTAGTAAGTCTAAATTTAAAAATTAAATAATAGCAACTTTTTAAAAACTAATATGAAATAAAATTACTGTACTTATTGACTTTGTATAATACATTATGTGTTCAACAAATTGTATGATTTATTTTATTAAATACGAACCATAATTTTATAGTAGAATTTCTGAAATTAAAATAACAGTAAATAGTAAATGCTTTTATCAATAGGATAGGCAGAAATAATATTCATTATACTTATGGCTTACATTATACAAATATTTAAATTGGTTTTAAACTTTTATTTATTTATGGTTTATTAATATTTTTAATTCCAGTTTAAAGCTTGCTWATAAGGTTTAGATAATCAACATATTGTTATATATAAGGAATAAATTTAATTACCATACACCTCAACCAATTAAATTTATTCATCCAGAAAATTKTTAATTACAACATTTATATAATGGTGTTAAAACAATTTTAAAAATGTAAGCCATTTTAAAAATTAAAACCCTCGCACTATGTAGCTTAAGAATTTAAAACCGTTTTAACACCATCATATAAATGTAGTAAATGATTATATATAATACAAGACTTCATGAAAATTGATCTCATAAACCATAAAACCAWCAAGATCAATGATGTTTAAGATGTTTAAGAAGTATAGATAGATAATTATAAATTATGAACTGCTTGTTCTCGGAAACTATGCTCTTACAATAGAATATGAATAAACAACGAAAAATAAATAAAACCTACCTATATAAATTTATTAACCATCCATTGAAAACATAACAATAAAAAGCCAAACAGGATACAATGACGGGGTGTTGAGCAATCGCTTTGTTTCACTCTACTYAATGCAAGATAGTAGTGCATTGTTAATTAAAATTTTWWAGCRAACATAAGTCATCAATTATCACATWAAAAAAATAATTTGGAGTCATTTTTTTTTAAAGATGCTTGACATTATTTGAATATAGGAGTAATTTATCAGTTATCAGGAATTGTTTATTGTAAATAATAAGGAAAGAAATAAGAGAAATATRGAGAAAATTAAAAAAACTAATTTTTCATAAAATTAATGCAAATAAAGAAAAAATTAAAACTGATATATTATGAATTATTTCATTTAGAATCTTTAATAAACACTAAATGTCTATAGTAGAAAGTAATCTATGACTTGGTGAACATCTAAACCCTTGTTTTGAACTCCATTCTTAATCTGATTATTAATATTTCTCAGGATAAAAAGTATAAATAGTCTGATACTCTGTCTAGCAAGAGAACGTATAGCAGYCCAACAATAGCCAATTTCACTACATCCCTGAGTGACACCCGACCATCGAGAACGGATCCACTATGTTAAGATGTTATGAGAAGAAGGGGTGCATAAAACAACACATTTCCTTGCTGAGCAGAGTTTATGTAATTCCCTCTCTACAACAATAAACCACCATAAGGATTAAGACTCAATGTTAATCGGAAAATTATACATAATGAATGTACCTTACAATATCACAAATCATTAAATTATTTGAATCACAAACCCACAATTTGCCCATTGCGTATATGCATAATGCATGACAGTAATTTTTGAATCTAATGGTTATCAATAATAAATTAATGACCTTTTTGTTAGTTGTAACATTCATATATGTCATAGAAAATAACTATTGTCTATTTGTAATATASAATATTAACAATTGCATTAGTATTACCTGTTTTGTCACTATTTTAAAACTGGTTTAAATATATTAAATTATTTAGTAAATAAACATGCAAATAAGTGCATACATTTTCAAAAATTATATATTATTGTGACAACATTTACAAACAACATGCATATTTTCTATTGAATATATTATTATGTATAACATTTCTTAAACTGTACAATTCATTATTATGAACATAGTACATACTAAATAGCAATGATTTAAAAGTGCTTTAATGGTACATACAATATGTGTATGTATATTATTCTTCATCTATGAATTGTACTTAATGACCTTTACTTAAAGTTTGCAAAAGTACCAAACATCCTAAGTAATAATACATATTGTAAAAATAAGTCTATGGTTATAAAAACTATTGTTGGTAATTTTATAAACTCCAACTACCAATAAATATAATTTTTTTTTAATGTACTKCTCCTCAATTTTGTATTACTTTATATTATGTTAAATTTAAAAATAACTTTATTTATATTACCTACTTAGGTGGTTCATTGTTTTTTGGTTAATGATATGGTCCTAATGTTAGTAACAAATAAAAGCATAATATGTACCCTGTTAAGCAGTTGATGTATGTTATGGAGACACGGCAGTGAGCTTCTTTCAATAATTTCCTATGGAATGGAGAACAAATAATATAAGTTATTTTAATATTTTTAATTGTGAATTTATGTAATTTATAATAAAAATTGACTTAAAAATAAAATAGGCTAAAATAATAAATTTTACAATACACCTAGTTAGATATAGCTTACCTAATGTTTTCATAAATTTTCACTATTTCATCAGGTAAAATAAAAGGAAAAAAATCTATTTTAATTTTTAATAGGTATATAAAAAAAAAATTATAAATTTGACTATAAGTTAAGTAGATATTTATTGAATTCATTTTTATATAAATTATATTTCGGTACTTATATTTTTACATTTCATTAATGGCAATCAAAAATAATTAGTAAAACAACATAGCATTATTAACAAGAAAATAATTACCTAGTTAAGAAATATTAAAAATCAATTAACATTAAACTATAATAAATTCAACTAATAATAATTTAGTTTACAAAGTTTACAGGTACCAGTAAAATGAATTGAGCAGATCTATGAAATATTTGTCTTTTAGCCTATTATATTTCCAAGCCACACAATTAATATTATTGATTGTTTGTTAGATTGACAAATTATAAACATAGTTCCGGAACACCGAGCACAAAAATCAAACCTATGTAGTAAAACCAAGGTAATATAAATT